TTTTTGAGACAGGGTCTCTGTCACCCAGGGCAGTGGCAGGATCATGGCCCTCCACAGCCTCTACCTCCTGGGCTCAAGTGATCCTCCTACCTCGGCCTCCCGAGTAGCTGGGACTACAGGCACCCACCACTGTGCCCAGCTAACTTGTGTATTTTTTGTAGAGACAGGTTCCTCCATGTTCCCCAGGCTGGTCTTGAACTTCTAGGCTCACGCAATGCACTGCCTCAGACTTCCAGTGTGAGGATTACAGGCATGAGCCACTGATCCTGGGCCACCTTTCTCTTAAATGTAACTATAGGTGGTGTTTTGAAAATTATTCTCATTGCTTACTATCTTAGGCAAAAATTAAGCAGTAAAGAATATATTTAAACATTGGTCTTCAATTGTTTGGAACTACAAAGCAGAGTTTAAGTACTGCTGTTCCAACTTAGATGGTATGTGTATCAGAAAAAAGTAAATATGTTGAGATATTAATTTAGCAGTGTTTTAGCATTTTTTAAGAGTGGTATAAACTGCTTTTGTAATTGTTTTTATTTGCCTTTTATAGGAAAACCTGTTTGATTCTTTGACAGGCCAGCCACATCCTGAAGATGTACTGTTGTTTGCCATTCCAATATGTGCCCCTTACACCACCATGACAAACTACAAGTATGTTACCATTAGTTGACAGAATGGCTTTCATGAATTGTTTTGTAATGTTTATTTAGTAACACATATATTTCCTTTTTAAAGATATAAAGTGAAACTTACTCCTGGAGTGCAGAAAAAGGGAAAAGGTATTTAAATTTTTTTTGAATTATGATTTTAAACAGTTCAGTGACTTAACAGAATTAGATTATTCTTACTCTTTTTTGTATTTACAGCTGCAAAAACAGCCTTGAATAGTTTCATGCATTTCAAAGAAGCAACAGCAAGAGAAAAAGACTTATTCCGCAGCGTAAAGGTAAAGTTCTCCTTCAGAAAAGGAAAATGGAGACTGACAGTAAAATTTAAAATGTTAGCAGTTTTTATTATTTTATTAGAAAATGCTGTCTTATTAGCAGTAAAATCATTTCAGCTAAAAATTTGGAAATGTTTTTATTTTTTATCATAAAAGAAACATGATGGACCCTATAGGATGGGAAGATATTCAGCAATTTTCTTTTTTTAGGACACAGATTTATCAAGAAACATTCCTGGCAAAGTGAAAGTGTCTGCACCCAATCTTCTGAATGTAAAAAGGAAATAGCTGAAATGAAATTCTAAAAATATTTGAGAAGACCCAATTTTATAGCCTTTTGGAAGTTCAAAGATGAAAACACCATGTTACAGGACTCAGCATTATAAAAATGAACTAAACATTGCCTTGCTATATATATTCACCAAAAGGACTTAATTCTTGTTTTTTTTTCCCCCCAGTTTTATATATAAGAAACACTGTCTATGATAGGATTTCCTAAAACATTTGTGGACAGTTAAATGCTAATTATATGCATCTGTCATTATTCTACATTATCTTGAAGTTTGGAGGTTAATATTGTGTTCTTTTCATGGTGTAAAGAAACTGAACAGTGAAGTGGCTTGATTGCTTAAACTACTGACTTGTTAAGTCTACTGTATGTAATAGCTAATATATATATTACAGTCCAGCCACAAGGGATTTTTTTTTTTTTTTTGGTGCGGGGGAGGTTAAATACTTAGGATTGTGTCTTGAAAACTAAATATTGGAGTGGATTTTCTTCTGCTTTCACCTATACTTGTCAAAAAATGTATTAGACCAAATGTAAAATACAAGTAGTAATTCTCATGACTCTCAGCTTAATAACTCCTAGATAGAACTGGTGTTAATCATTTCTGTTCATTTGTAGACCTTCAAGTTTGATCTTAATATGTTCCTTGTAGTCTCATTCAGTTCTGTACCATTGTAATTGCCACCTTTACTAATTAATTATCAATATAGCATGTTACAGAGTATCTTAACCTATACCAGAAGTGCATTTTAGGCTAACCACTAAAGACTCCAATGCATTTTTCCTCTGTCTCCTAACAGAATGGAGAATGAAGTTATCATTATTTCCATCCTTTCACGAGCTACAAAACTTTGTAACTGACTGGACGACACCTGCCTGTAGTGAGCATGACCACTTGTTCCAGTGCCTACACTGAAGCATTAAGGTCAAAGTACTAAATAGCTGTTGATCCCTCTATACTTTATTTTTCCAGCTTAGTCATAATGTGAATATTAATGTTTTAGAAAAAAAAAACCAGAATCTTATTATATTTACAACACTAGTTACATAATTATAGACTACTCTTGCCATTTAAAAATACCTATGTTTTTAAAAAATGACTTCATTTTTTTGATGATGGTAAGACTATTTAGTGTCATCATCTTTCTACAGATATATATCCTGAAGTTACCAAAAAGGAAACATAACCATTCTTTGGGGTAAAAAGCCCAACCATTACTTTTCTTTTACTTTATAATAGAGGACAGCTACTGGTGTTAAATACATTTATTGTAAACTTTAGACACAAAAATAGGGTCTCTAGGCCATTCACATGCACATTAAAACCAAAAGTTGCAAACTACAACAATGCATATAATTATACAAATGATGCCAACTCTGTGATGTTTACAGGATTGCTGTCCATGCAAGGTGATCAGAGGCATTATTTATGAAGCCTTAAGATCCAGAAGTGTTGTTACTACCAAACCTCTGATTAACACTGTTAAGTAAGTGTTTTGGAAGGCAGTTCCATGAGTTGGCTAACATTTCTTTAAAACAAATGACTGCTTCTAAACTTAGCCTAAAAAATGAACAAGGAAAGAGAAAAGTAATTTCACTTTACTGTTTAGAAGTACGTTCACTTGAAAAGCTACATAAAACATCCCTCTTTCTTAGATTTTCACAGGAACTGGTTGTAGCAGTGACGTTGCTACTTATTATTGCCCTTAAATAATCCATAAACCTGTTTTTTTCCTGAGAGTGGTAAGTATTAAACAGAATTTAAAATAATCTAAGTGCCAAGTACAAACTTACCGTACAAGAGATTTTGGTTGAACTGAAAATATTAGTATTTCATTACTGTGTGCCTGAAAAATAGATAGGAAGAACACATTTAAAAGCAAATGCTTTACAAGTAAGTTTCAGTAATAGTATGAAGTAGTATACTTACAGCTCTGTGATGGACAAGCAGGTTGTTGGCACATCCACCAAAAACAATTACTTCTCCTTCATCACTGGCACAAGCTGTGTGCCATAACCTGCATTTAAAACAAAAACATGAGTTTGAAGTCACACAGTTGCTCATTTTATACTACTGAAGGGGGCTATGAAATAAAGACTTAGAGATCTTAAGGTAGTTCAGACCAAAACATCATGGTGAGAAGTAAAATCTTAAGTAGCGAAAGCAATCAATACCTCTATTTTATCTGGATATTATGATTTTTATGTCTCTGGTCAGTTCTCATTTATGCAGTGAGGAGTTTGAACTGAATGATGTGTTCTCTAGGTCTTTGTTAGCAATAAAAATCATACGGGAGCTGACTGGTATATGTCTTTTTCCATAGATAGGGCCAGCTGGCCTTACACAGAACATCTGAGGGATGGTGAAAGCCCTGCTTCAGTAAACTATAAAGTCTCAGAAAGCCTGGTAGTTTTTTGGAGAGATCATTTAAAAATAAATAGTCTCATTGGTATGACTATACTTGGTTTAGAGGCTTGGGAAAAAACTGCAGGCTTTGAACATCATTTTGACTGTATCATTTCCTTTAGCATTTTGTTTGAGATTAACAAGAGAAACAGTTCAACTATCAGTGTTTAATAAGCTCTTCTCTTTGGCTAAGATTTGCAGTAGCACTGTATAACAAAGATGAAGAAATCAAATCATTTCTTCATCTTTGTTATACAGTGCTACTGCAAAACAAGAACTGTCAATTAGATTTTCTCCCC